GAAGACAATAGGAACGTTTACCTTGTAAACGGTGCTCCCGTCTAATATCTATTGCAGCACAAATTTGGGAAACACCGGTCCATTTCGAAGCCTTGCCCCTGTGGCCACGCCCACCCGGGTATCTAAGTCACGTTGCCGGATGGCGTAGACGGAGCATGGAGAAGGCATCCAGATATCACTTCCTTCCTCCCCGTTCCTGTGCACTTTCGAGTGCACCGACTCAGTAAGCTCTCAAACTCGGACTCAATAAGGCGTCAGTGTGGTGCTTGTCTGCGAGGTCTAAAATATTTGAACCGCTCCAACTGATTCTTGAGACGCAGTGCTTCTTGGCCATGAATCTCACAAATGCGGCTTTAGCCTTCTGATTGAGAGCTGAATTGAAGAGGTTGTCGGAAATACTCATTCTTCACTATAGTCACTTAGAAAACAGTAGAAATTGGTTCTCCAAAAAGAGACTAGGTGTACCATCTTATAGAGCGGGGACTCTCCCACAAAATCGTGTGAGGGAGCGTTCAGATTTGGCGATGATGGATGATGATGATGATGCAATGGTAGCACGACGACGCGCTGTAAGGCGCGTCGACGTGCTGCCATTGCAAAGGCCTCCGACGCTATAATGCAGACGCAGACGTGAATCGATCTGGCCGGCCTTATGTTGCGAGAGAGCATAGGATAACAGGAGGGAAGGCGCTGCCCCCACGCAATCTGGTGCCCTCCTATTCGTCTATACTCTCGCAAAGCACAAGCGCCCTGCGTCGATCGATTGCCATCTGCGGCTGCGTTAGCGTCCTTGTACTGGTGTGCAATTGTAGCGCATCGAGCGCATGCGGCGCCTCAACGCGAGGTCTGAACGCTGCCTGAGAGTCACTAGCGGGACGCTCTACCTTCTCCGCAGAGTCTCAAGTTGTAAAAAAAGACCGTTATTGGCCAACGCAGTAGTTCATGATAGTCCACTTTCAAGTAAGCTCTTACCCGTATCTTCGTCGGAACACTTCGGTAGTTTCACGAGCAGTTTTGTGCGTGTAATAAATAAACACGGCTGTGGCCCAGACGTTCTGTATCCTTTCAAAATAAGTTGGTCTGTGCGTGATGTCCATGCCAATCAACGAAGGGATGTAGGACGAGGGTTGAGTCATTCCCAATATCCAAGCCATATAATCGCTGATTGGGCAACTGAAAGTACCTGTAGTTCGCTGAGTTCAAACGAGACTATTCAGCTCTTTACCTGGACACCAAAAAATGAGATTTGATCCCTAACACATAAGCCATTCCATTTCCGCATAGGTTTATGTGTTCACCAAAGTACGCGTCGAATTTTTCTCCTCGTAGGTATTCCATTACTTCTTTCCGACTCAAAAGATCTTAATATTAATCTTAAGACAAATGTGTTCCTCACATTTCAAGCAGACTACAGTCTGGTTCGTGCAGATGATGGGGCGTGTCAACGCGGCTGCGTTTGACGCAGCCCCAACCCGATTTTTTTCTCCCCTCGAACGAGAGGACTGCATCATATCGCACTAACAGCCATTTTTGACCTACTATACTGGCTTAAACAAGTGCTGGAGAATGGATTTGGCGCCATGCCAAAGCAGCCGCGCAGACACGCCTCATCATCCGCAGCCAATCACTTAATGCTTCAAAGAAGTACTTTTTTAGCAGAGTGTTTTAACGAGAAATCACGAATAATATGGAAAAAGCAGCTCACCATCGCATAGCTTAATGTACGCTCTGCTATACTTCAGGATCTCTTGGTGCTCTCGAAGCACAGAAATCTCATTAAATGCTGCTTCCAGAAAACCCTTGAATATTGACATATATCTGTATTCAACAAGTATAGTAATACATTAGACGGATTAATGTAATGCTGACCTTG